ATATATATATATATATATATATATATATATACACCAGCCTGGGATAACCCCCTTCCATCCTGCTCCCCTCCCTGGATTAATGAGGGGGCTGCACATCTCCAAGCAACCTCTGGCTTTTGGAAGTCCTACAGATGAACCATGGCGCCAGGGACAGCGTGCTGGGTGAGGATCCACCTATCAGAATGAAGCTAGGGCTTCCCTCGTGGCGCAGTGGTTAAGAATCCACCTGCCAATGCAGGAGACACAGGTTCGAGCCCTGGTCCGGGAAGATCCCACATGCCGCAGAGCAGCTAAGCCCATGCGCCACAACTACTGAGCCTGCGCTCTAGAGCCCTCAAGCCACAGCTACTGAGCCCGCGTGCCACAACTACTGAAGCCCACGCGCCTAGAGTCCATGCTCTGCAACAAGAAGCCACTGCATTGACAAGCCTGAGCACCGCAACGAAGAGCAGCCCCTGCTCACTGCAACTAGAGAAAGGCCCGCGCGCGGCAACGAAAACCCAATGCTGCCAAAAATAAATTAATAAATAAATAAATTTAAATAAAAATATGTTTTTTAAAAAAAGGATGAAGCTGGATTAGGAGAGCCAGTGGGTGCTCTGCTGCCCCCTGTGGGACAAAGCAGGAACAGCACCCTTGGGTGAGAACTACCTTGCTGGAGGAAAAAGAGGAGGAGGGGTAGGGATCAAGCATCCCTCCTTGTCCCCACACTTGATCTTTGGCACAGAGCATCCACACTCCCCCCCTTCTCCTCCTTGAAGTCAGGGTCCCTATGCTTGGGGTCCAACCTCAGCCTTACGAAGTAGGCTTTGCATCCTCCCAGGTCTGCCAAATCCTCCACCCAGAACATGCCGCACATTTCTGAAGGTCTTTCTGCCAAAAAGCATTGTCCTGGGAACATCAGGCCAGTTCCAGACCCAAAAAATCACTCACGCAGTGTTTGTACTTAGCAAATGGAAAGGGGTCCTGAGGAGCCTTTTATAGACTACTAGGTGTAGGCAACTGTGTTCATCAGGAAGAAAGATAGGGACTTCTCTGGTGGCGCAGTGGTTAAGAATCCGCCTTCCAATGCAAGGAACACGGGTTCAATCCCGAGTCCAGGAAGATCCCACATGCCGTGGAGCAACTAAGCCCGTGTGCCACAACTACTGAGCCTGCGCGCCACAACTTCTGAAGCCTGCGCACCTAGAGCCCGTGCTCCGCAACAAGAGAAGCCACCGCAATGAGAAACCCGTGCACCGCAGTGAAGAGAAGCCCCCACTCACCTCAACTAGAGAAAGCCCACAGGCAGCAACGAAGACCCAACGCAGCCAAAAATAAATAAATTTCTTTTTTTTAAAAAGGGAAGGGCTTCCCTGGTGGCGCAGTGGTTGAGAGTCCGCCTGCCGATGCAGGGGACACGGGTTCGTGCCCCGGTCTGGGAGGATCCCACATGCTGCGGAGCGGCTGGGCCCGTGAGCCATGTCCTCTGAGCCTGCGCGTCTGGAGCCTGTGCTCCGCAATGGGAGAGGCCACAACAGTGAGAGGCCCACGTACCGCCAAAAAAAAAAGGAAGAAAGATAAACATAAGGATCAACAAATGCTAGGAAAATAGAAAATGATGGGAAGGCAGAAACTTAATTGTAACAAAATTTGGTAAATCAAGCCAAAGACTGATTATTGGCAAAGATTAATAAAATTTGATAAACCAATGGAAAATTAACTTTAAATACAGATTTACAATTCACAGATAGACAAATAGATAGAGATACAGAGTTATAACAAGAAACCCATAGGCTGTGTTTTGGGCCAATTCAGTGGTGATGGGAGGGCAGCTGGGTGGGGTGGGAAGGGGCATAAACAAATGTTTTATTATGGAAAATTTCAAACATATACAAAAGTAGCAGTATTAGGATAACAAAGCCCATGTACTCACCACCCAGCTTCAACAATTACCAGCTCATGAAAAATTCTGTTTCATCTATATCACCTCCTGCTATCCCCCCTACTTCAGATTATTTTGAGGCAAATACCATATTTCATATAATTTTATCAGTAAATATATCATTTTTCTCTAAAAGAATCTTTTTTTTAAAAAAAACATGACTACAATACCATTATCACAACTAAAAAAGTTAACAGTTATTCCTTAATGTCATCAAATATCCAATGTTTATATTTCTTTGGTCTTTCCACTGTGTTTTTTTGGCCACGATGCGCAGGATGTGGGATCTTAGTTCCCCGACCAGGGATCGAACCCATGCCCCCTGCAGTGGAAGCGCAGAGCCTTCCCTGAACCACCAGGGAAGTCCCACTATTCCACTTTGGTTGTTGGTTTTCTTGACTGTCTTCCCCACTGGATCCGATCAGGGACCTTGGCAGCCCCTGCTGTCCATGGATGGGGCCAATACACCTGTGTTCACACACCCAAGTGAAGACAGCCACTGATCTGTAGGTGAGCAAAGACACTAAGGGCCTAGCTGGCAGGAGCACCCCCGTTCCAAGATGAAGAGCTGTCCTTAGCATGAGCGCTGACCAGGCTCAGCCAGGTGCTCAGAGCCCCCGCCTCACCTCTCCTGGGGCACCCTGCCAAAATACTCACACAGTCCCTGCTCCTTACCACCATCTCTTCAGCCAGAACCTCCAAGGATGGGGCCAGGGCATAAAGATTTGGGGAAAATGTCTCGGGTACATTTGATGTATTACCCTTCCTGAGCTCCATGTGGCCCAACCAAGATGGGGGCACACCTGGGTGCCTGATACCTTCACCCTGCACCACTATAAGAAACCCCTGGGGTGGGCCACTGAGCTCAGCTATGGCTTCTGGGAAACAAAGGTTAATGTCAGTTGCCAGGGAGGCCTTGACACCAGGTCTGCTTTGTGACAGAGTCACCAAAACAGCCAGCACCATTCCCGGGGGAGAAATGGGGACTGGCCCTTTGTTGGATTATCCATGGACTACCTCCCCAGAGGGGCTTTCCCTCACTCCCCTGCTCCTCCCCTGGGCCATAGTAGGTGACCCTCTGAGCTCCTAGGACTGTTACCCTGGGCCAACCACAAGCGAGTCCAATGCCAGCCTGATCCCAGAACAGACATCAATGCCCATCTGTGGAAGAAGACTGCCACAGGCTCACCCTCTGCAGAGCGCCCCTCTCCACACAACTCTCTCCCCAAGACCAATTGCTGTGTTGACACCAGGCCAGAAGCTGCCAGATGATAACCTATGGTTTCCAAGTGCTTTCTGGAAGGACTTCCTCAGGCCTCGCCCTGGTCAGAATAGCCCCAACAGCCTCTACATCCTCCTCCAGCTGTCTTGGGCCAGCTGCTTGTATATTGAGTCCTGGAAGCTGACTCAGCCTGCATCCCCATCCCCAAGTGGCAAGTGTGTAATAAAGTGCCCTTGGCGGGGCCGGTGAGGGAAGGCTGGGGCAGGTGGGGTCCTGTGTGTCCCACCATCTCTGTGAAAGGGCGGTCCTCACATCTGCCCTGTGCTGATGAGGCCAGGCGTGGGCACAGGCCTGACAACGCCGGGCGGAAAGGAGCAGCCATTAGCACTAATGAGGCAGGCGGCCTGAAAGCTTTTTACTTTGAAGCTCCTCGTCCACCCAGGGAACAGTCCGTTCGGCCACCTTGGCTTCCAGGAACCCCAGGCAGAAAAGGGTGCGGGGGCAGGAGCAGGGCTGGGGTTTTGGAGAAGCCTGGAGGAAGAAGGGGGAGGAGAGGTAGGGCCAGAGATGGAGGCAGAGGGCCTGCTTTTGGCTAAGTGGGCTTCTCCCCTCCCCTCTCTCCCCTCAAAAACCCAGGGTCTAGGTCTCCACCCCAACCCCACCCCGCTCTGGTCACTGGCCCATCACCCCCTCCAATGCCCTTGACCCAAGTTCCTGGAAGCAAAGGGAACATGCCATGCGTAGGGTCTGAATGAGCATCTCCGGGGCCACAAATTAAATTAAGTGTTCAGGGCCGCCTTCCTTGTTATTGCTAATGGCTCCAGCCTACCCATCCCCATTCCCCAGGTCCCTGTCCTGGGGAATGAATGTGGGGGCCCTGGGCACCCTATCTTGTTCCCAAACTTTGATTGGTTCCTGGAGACCTCACTCCAAACTGGAGATGGGTACCCCTCTTATAGAGCCCAGGTTCCAGTGAGAGAGGCCTGAACTGTGCCCCCACCGTCTGGGGGGGCGCCCTCATGCCCTGGCTGCAGGGAGCAGTCACGTGTGGGCCCTTCATTAGACCCTGCCATATAAACCGAGGGCATGGGGTGGCCAGGAACTCTTGGGGCAAGGATCCAGCAAGCAGAGGTAAGTCCTCAGGTTGGGCAGAGACTCCTACTCTCTAGGGGTCTTCTGTCTGGGATAGGGCACCTAGAGGGTGTTCTAGGGATGAAGAGGGACTAAGTGATGGGTCTTCCCGCTGAGCCAGGCCATGCTGACCACAGTGCTGCTGAGTTGTGCCCTGCTGCTGGCAATGCCCACCGGGCAGGGGGCCCAGATGGGCTTGGCTCCCCTGGAGGGCATCGGAAGGCCTGACCAAGCCTTGTTCCCAGAGCTCCAAGGTCAGTGTGGGCAGGGGTGGGGATGGGTGGGGCCTGGACACTCTCTGGCCACTAACTATTCTGCCTGGTATGAGCCCTCTTTCCCCCTTCCCAATCCCAGGCCTGGGAGGTGGGTGTCTTGTGCATGGGGTTTTCTGTCCTCACATCATCTGTCCCAGGCCTGGGCCTGCAGCCCCCGCTGAAGAGGACAACGGCAGAACAGGTGGAAGAGGCTCTGCTGCAGGAGGCAGAGGCCAAGGCCTTGGCAGAGGTAACTGCTCAGGAAAAGGGCTGAGGCCACAATCTCTGGGTGGGGGGATCAGGCATCAACCTCCATCTCCACTTGGTGACCCTCTCACTTGGGGTGACACTGCAGACCATCCCTCCCCATGCTCCACTGACGTCCCGCCTTGATTGGGTCAGGTCCCTGAAGCTGCCGCTGAAGGCCCATGTTACCCAACCCCTGCAGGTGCTAGATCCGGAAGGACGCAAGCCGCGCTCCCCGCGTCGCTGCGTAAGGCTGCACGAGTCCTGTCTGGGACACCAGGTACCATGCTGCGACCCATGTGCCACGTGCTACTGCCGTTTCTTCAACGCCTTCTGCTACTGCCGCAAGCTGGGTACTGCCGCGAACCCCTGCAGCCGCACCTAGTTGGCCGACGTCGGGGTCGGGGCTGGGGCAGGGGAGCGACAATAAAGGATGGGACCAACCCCAGGGTTGTGGCGTTATTTCGAACGTGACCGTCGGAGGGGGGAGGTCATGGCAGGGGCAAAGGTGTCTCCAAGCCAAGACACCACACACACATCCCTACCCCAGGGCCTGCGCTGTCCCATCATGAGTCACTTACATGCATGCTCTTAGAGTGCCAGGCGTCGTTGGGAGAAGCAGAGGAGGGCCGCGCTCCTACCCTTGAGAATCTTATATAATAAATGAGGGGAAGGGAGGGCGCAACGCAGCATAGGAGCTGTAGCTCCCAGCAGGCTAACAAAACATTAGGCTCCAGGGCCTGCTTGCGTTAACTCGACGCGTGACCCGCAGCGAAGCCTTCCCCTCACCGGACTTCAGTTCCTTTCAGGGGAAGGCTGATAACAGTCTGGAATATTTCCAAGCATAAGAAGCGCCGCCCACTCCCATCTTTACTCCTCTGGCCGCCACAGCACCACGTGCACCAGACTCGGGAAATCTAGAGTGAAGGCCCAATCGAATCCCCGCGGCCACGGGCGCCACCACGCGGTCGGCCTTGGACACTCCAAGCCGCTCCCGCCGAGGAGCAGGAGGCCCTCTTCCCCTCAGCGCGCAGGCGCCAGTGGGCGGTCCCCAGCCCACACCTGCGCAACCATTCCGCGAGAAACCACCCGGAAGCCGGGCGCCGCTCAGAGCCCCGCCCCGTTGTGGTCACGTGGGCCGCTTGCGCGTCACCTGATGCGCTTGACAGCCCGCTGCGGGCGCCGCGTCAGCTGATCTTGGAGTTGTGCTGCGTGCCGGCAGGTCCGGGTCCTCCGGTCCAGCCGCCCCCGCCGCAGCCATGTCGTTCTTCCCGGAGCTTTACTTCAACGTGGACAATGGCTACTTGGAGGGACTGGTGCGCGGCCTGAAGGCCGGGGTGCTCAGCCAGACGGACTACCTCAACCTGGTTCAGTGCGAGACGCTCGAGGGTGAGCCGCGGGGCCGGGCTGCGGGGCCTCGAAAGGCCGGCAGGGAGGCCGGCGCGGGCCTGAAGGTTCTGAGGTTTGGGAGTGGAAGCTGGGGGTTCTCGAAGGGCCTGAGAGGTCGGGGAACCGGATCCGGGCCTGAGAGGCCTGCTGGGAATCCGGGGGCTAATGGCGGGTGCGGCGGAAGGGAATATACCTCCATTTGCGGCTCCGTGTGGGCCCAAACGCAAACAAGGCTTTAAGAACCGCAGTGGTTCGCCTCTGCTGGGGCCACTTCTTCCCCGTTCTGCCCACCATGTAGTTTGGAAGAGAGGGTCTCTCGGGAGTGGTTAGCTGGTGTGAGATGTGCTCGTACAAGCCTCTTTACCCTGACGTAGCCAGAGAGCTGTCTCGTGGCAAAGCTTAGGGAAGCTAAGCGGAAAAGTCCCCGGCTTTCCCTCCCAGCACATACACCAAGGGCTTTGGGCTCATTGTGTCTTCACGTTGGCCTGCGCAGTGAGCCTTTCTGGGGAATTACTGAGCCAGCTTAGCGAGAGTTTCCTCCCATCGCCGATCCACTGGCTGAGCGGTCTTCTGAAGGCACTGTTTGGGAGAGCCCTGAAAGTCGGGAAGTTCATACACCTGTATTTGACAATAATTCCCACTCGCTCCATGAGGAAACCCTGTTCAGACAGGGTTTCCTAGCACAAGAATGGTGAGAAGCTGAGTTCCACTTTTTCTCAGGACACACAGCTCCAAAGTGGAATTGACTCTGTGAGGCGCAGCATCAGATTTACTGAATTAGAGACTTCCCTGATTCCAGTCTTCTCTTCCTCCTCCCGCTACCCACCGCCGCCCCCCAGGTGATAGTGAAGGGCACAGTGGCTGGGCTGTGAGTTCCCATCCCTGACCTCCAGGTTATATCCTCGAACAGAGGTACTGCTAGCCTCCTGGTTGGTAGCTGGAGGGGGAAGATGGCCAGATGATTCGCCTTCTGGAGAAAATTTTCTCATCATAAACTTACTGAGGTTAAAAGTGAGCTCAGTTAAAAAAACAGTTATGTACCTTGCAAATTGGACCCGTAATGTGAAAATAAATACCTTTAAGTTTTAAAACTTACTGCAGTTCAAATACAGTTGTGGGCATTATGGTTTTAACATAAATGTGCAAAAAAGTCTTTCACCTCCCTTATGAGAGTGGAGGTGGGGACGGAGAGGAGAGCACTTTAGGGTGCTGGGTTGTAGGAACTTGACAGCAACCTCATTGTCCTCACTGTGGCAAACAGAGGAGAAACAGAGAGAGGCTGCACAGGGCAGGGCTTGGCACACAGTGGTATTTAATGGGAGTTTTGTGGACTGATTGGGACTGAAGGAAGATCTTTATTTGCTTAAATCTGAATGCGGACACCATTGATTACCAACTGGCATTTGGTAAACTTGTTTCTCTTCTAGGCTTTCCTCACTCCTGCTGCCCTCCTACCCCACCCGTGTAGAGCTTCTGGGGGCACGGGGTTCCCATCTTCCCAGCAGACGCTCCATCATCCCCCATAAACATGTTAAGCCATTCTTCCTACAGCACTGCTCACACATGGTCCCCTTGTGGATCACCATCCAGCCCTTTAGTGTGACATTCAGGGATTCCCTCGCTCTTTCACACATGTTCCTTTCCTTCATGCAAGCCATCCCCCAGCTTTTGGTGCACATTGTGTGGTGGACTTTGAACTTTCAAATCTGACTTTGAATCCCAGCCGCACCAATTACTGAATCACTTTAGACAAGTTATTTAACATCTCTGGGTCTTGGGTTCATCGTCTGACACATTAACAGCACCTATCTCACAAGGTTGAGAGATGTCAACAAGTTATTATGTGTAAAACACTTAACTCAGCACCAAGCACAGAATAAGTGCTAAGTAAATGTTAGCTCGTTTCAGTATTATTTGCACTAGCCATTTTCTCTGCTTCCTTCTTACTCCCGTGAAACCCAGTGATTCCCACCCTTTAATGCCCAGACCCAGTACCATCCCATCTTAGAACCCCTTTGTGGACATGCTAGGCTAGAATGTTGTCCCCCTCCATCCAGTTGCAGCTCTTGTGTTTGTTTGTGCTGCTTTCCTAGAAGTCTGTCAACACAGAGTTTGAGATTCTTGGGACTCTAGGCTGGAGATGCTCAGGACTTTCAGGGGCTGGAGATAACCAGAGGCAGGAAGGATTGACCAGAAACTCCACTTGTCCTCTACAGAAAGGCCTCTGCTCCTGAAGGTCACCCCAGAGGCCTGACCTCCAGCCCTTTGTTGCTGGGTGTTTTTGCTTCCTTATCTCCAGGGAAAAGGGAAAGGGGGGGGGGAGAGGGGAGGGAGGTGGGAAGGAGAGACCAAGGAAGCCTGTGGTCCCTATGAAATCTGTAGGTGTGTCCTGAGATGATGAGGTTTCCAAAGAACATGTTTTAGAAGTGGAACAGTTTCCAGAAGGCTCAGGACATTGGGTGGAGGGTGTTTATTTGTTCTGCAAGGTACAGGAAGTACATATAGACGCTCCACCACACCGTAGCCTTCCTTCTTGGCTTCTACTCCATCAGGGCGTCTGCTACTGACCTCTTTTGCCAGAACTCAGCCTCTTAGGACCACTGAAGTCCATGTATCCTCCATTGTCCATCTTGCTTGATTGTCTCTTTTCAGAGGTAGGAGAAGGTCCTAGCCCTTGGTGAACTGAGGGGACAGAGCTAGGTGGTCACAAAAGCTCTTTTCAGCTCTGAGTGTTTTGGATGTGTTGAGTACCTTCTAGAAGTTGGGTCCTGTGCTAGGGACTTGTGGGGAAGAGGAGGTGGGTCAGAGATACACAAAGAGAAATCATACAGGATTACTTTGAATGTTTTCACTCATTCCACATATACTTGTAAAGCACCTCTTTTATGCCAGGCACAGCAGTAGGGTCTGAGGTACTTTGTTGAATGATGTTCCCCTTGACCCTCACAGTCTGGGGGTGGAGGTCAGTGGGGCCAGAAGACATTAAGAGATCAGTGTAGCATAGCGGTTACAAATGTGGGCTTACTACTGCACGTTTCTGTGGCCATGTAACTGCTCTCTCCTGAGTTTCATCATCCGTAAAATGGAAATAATAATAAATAAAATGATACGTATCTTTACTGATGGGGTGGTTGTGAAAGCTAAACAAGATAATCCCTGTAAAACACTTAGCATGAACTTGGCACATGGTAAGTACTGAGTCAGTGTGCTAGCTGCAGTTATTGTTATTTTAAAGCAAAGGAAATATATAATTGCATATTAAGGGTGTTACCTGTGAAAGGGACAGTGGAGAAATGATAGAGAATCAGAGGGGAACTTTCTGTAGAGAGTGTGGCTGGTTCAGGCCCTGCTGAGGAAGGATATTCGAGCTGAGGTGTGGACAATGAGGAGCCAGCTGTGCAGAGAGCTAGGCCAGGGATGGGGTGGAGTGGGGTGGGGGACATTTCGGGCAGAGCGACCAGCATAACAAGGAGAAATAGTTGGGCCAATCAGAGGGACCAAAAGGAGTCCTGGGTGGTAGGGTGCGGGGGACAAGAGCACAAATCTGCTCGGAACCCAGACCCTTGGTTTAAAAACATCAGGCTGAGCCCAGGGGAGGAAGCCCCTGGCCCCTCAGCACTGGGTGTGGAGGCAGAGAGAGTGGTGGCAGGGGCACCACCTTCCACAGAGGCCTGCCGAATTTGAGGTGGTCGGATGTGACTAAGTGAATGTATTTCAGATCATGAGGAACATATGTCGTGCTAATTCGATGTTCAAGTCTTCGTTTGCTCATTCAAAAAACGCTTCCTGAAGGCCTACTGTGTGCCAGCTTCTGTGCCTCATAAGAGAGCCAGGCAGGTATTTCAGGTATTACCATAGTTCTGAGCTTGAACCCTTAGCTTTGACCTTGGCTTCAGCCTAAAAGCATTGCTATTAATTTGTCTGACTGGCTGCTGGGAATACAGGTATGAGTGAGACTCTGGCCCTGCCCTGCAGAATTTTTCCCCTTTCCTCTTTTCTCTTTAAAACTATTTATTATGGAAATCATTAAACATATACAAATTAGAGGGAATAATATAACGAACCTATAAGTAATAATCACCTAATTACAACA